TTTTTGCATTCTTGTGAAATGCAACAATGTCCAGACAGAGTGGACAGGCAGCAGAGGCTCAATGACAGCAGGTGTCATTTATAAGTAAATGGAAGGGGTTAAGGCCTTATCTGAACACCGAAGATGTTTTAAACACAAAAGAGCGTGTGATTAAATACGAGTCAGTGACATAGACAAATCTCCAGTAAGTAAGGACAAATCTCCAAGGCCTCGATTAGAAGACTTCAAGCAGGAGCTCAAACACTGAACTGAGCTTTGAATGACGCATCACTTTTGGACCTTTAGAAATGTGTTTCAGAAAGGAGTCAGATAACAGGGAAGGGGGAACATATTTAGAGGCAGTAAGGAGGCTATGCTGGCTGGAGGGGAAAGATTCCGCGCACGTGCGCACACGCGCGCGCGCACACACACACACACACACACAGAGTACAGGGTAGAGACGGTCAAAGACATGGTGTGGAGAACCTTGAGTGCCCACAACTTCATGTTCCTGAGAACCTGAGTGTTACTGAAAGAGAAGTTTAAGGAAGATCACACACATTCAAAATGTAGAATGGATGAGAAAGCAGAGAACCTACTAGGATGTGGGCAAGGATAAGGTACTAAGAACCAGGTAAAATGTGGCCACCGATTCTCAACAGTCAAGTCAACAGAACTTGGTGAGTAATGTGATACCGAGAAAGAGAAACAAGGGAATCAAATTTTAATCTGAGACTTGAGACCAGGTGGCCAGGAGAATACTGATTAATAGAAATGGGAGACAGCAGGAAGACATAATTTTAAAGAAAGATGATGATTTTGATTTTAGACAGAGCTGAGTTTAAGGAAACAGTAGCCGCCGCCACCTCCAGCCCCTCACTCCCTGCAGTGCCACGTGTATGCCATCTTCTAGTCTTGGCTAAGAAAAAATTTCCTAAATAGTAGTATTTCCATATATACATAAACACAGTGGAGAAATCTTCTCATATAATATAATCTCCATGGCTGGAAAAGTAAGTGTAAATTGATAAAATTGTAAACACAAAAATTTTTAAAGTTCCAAGAACTGTCTACTTCTACAAAAGCATTGTGATTGTACATTCAGATGTTTAAAAACTATTATATGAAAAGAGGCTCGACATTATTTAGTCACGAGGGAACTGCAAATTAAAACCCCAATGAGATACCAGTTCACAGATACTAGAATGGCTGGAAAAAAATTTAATCTGATAGTGACAAGAAATGACACGGATGTAGACCAACTAGAACTCTCATACATTGTTGGTGGGAATGCAAAATGGTACAAACACTTAGGAAAACACCTAGACAGTTTCAATTTCTTATAAAATTAAGCATATACCTTCTTTATGGCCCAGGAATGCTACTCTTGGCCTCTTACCTAGAGAAATAAAAACCTATATCCGCCGGGCACGGTGGCTCAAGCCTGTAATCCCAGCACTTTGGGAGGCCGAGGCGGGTGGATCATGAGGTCAAGAGATCGAGACCATCCTGGTCAACATGGTGAAACCCCGTCTCTACTAAAAATACAAAAAATTAGCTGGGCATGGTGGTGCGTGCCTGTAATCCCAGCTACTCAGGAGGCTGAGGCAGGAGAATTGCCTGAACCCAGAAGGTGGAGGTTGCGGTGAGCCGAGATCGCGCCATTGCACTCCAGCCTGGGTAACAAGAGCGAAACTCCATCTCAAAAAAAAAAAAAAAAAAAAAAAAACAAAAAACCTATATCCATACCAATATTATATGCAAGTATTTCTAGCAGCTTTATTTATAATTATCAAAAACTGGAAAACAACTCAAATGTATATACACTAGCGTATAAGCAAACTGTAGCATATCCATACACATATGGAATACTACAAAGCAACAGAAGAAAACTACTGGTACAAGCAACAACATGAATGAATCTCCAAAGTATTACATTAAGTAAAAGCAGCAAGGCACAAGATGATATAATAGTACTCTGTACCTATTTCTAGAATGTTCTGGAAAAGAGAAGACTACAGAATAGTGGGTCACAGAGGCTGTGGGTGCAGGAAGGGTATGACTACAATATGGCATGAGGAAACTTTCTGGGTTGATGGAAATTCTCTATTTTGGTTATGGTGGTGGTTGTAAACATTTATCGAAACTCGTAAAAATCTGCCTGTATAAAGGATGAATTTTATCATGTTATATATTCCTCAAGCAACCAGACTTGACAGGAAAAAAAAAAAAAAAACCATTGCAGCATCTTAACATTTGCTCAAAGAGAATTTTTAAATCATAGCATTGTCATCTATGATTACTCTGAAAAATTCTGGACATTTCTTAACTAGCCAGAATTCTACAAATGTCCTTAATATTGAAAAGAAACAAACACTATGCTTTTTCCTTCTTTGGGCCTCAAAACATTCCTTTGCAGGGCAAAAGGATGTTAGAGTATGCAGAAGCTGTGTGAATGCTGGTTATTGAGACACTAATAAAGTCAGTCTTGTTTGCTGGACAGCTGTTGGCTTCATTGTTCTTTTGTCACACACTGAAAAGGAGAGCTGTTATGCTAATGGAATGTGACCTTCTCATTGGATAGCTGTTACATCATACCCTGAAATGCTGTCCGAGAACTCTATTTTCACCACACACCACATAGGAAACGGCAAAACAAACAAAACGGAATACCCAAAAACCTGTATTAAATGAGCACTACTCCTTAAAATCAGATCACTTATAAGAAATACTTCTCGCTACTTTATATCCCATAATTTACTCTGTAACAGAGTAAAGTTTTTTCTTAATTTAGTATCCTTTAGTATATAACCTGGACAGAATTTATTTCCAGGTCTAAATAATTTTTATGATATTCTTTGAAAGACATTTTGTATGAGCACTCCAAGCCTAGTAAATCTATAAAATTATGAGAGTAATTCCTTCATTTTTGTATTAGCTAATGCCTACCTAGGTATTTTACAGCCTGGTCATTTATGAGCCATTTTCACTTGAAAAGGGGTGTTCAAAGTTTTTGGACCATTATCCACAACGAGAAATACATTTTACATTGCAACCCAGTACAGATATTTATGTGTGTGCACACATACTCAAATAACATTGAGGTCTTACAAAATAAGACTCTTACCATGTAAGATGCCCTCTACTATCTTCTTCTTTATTATGGTCTTTAAAATGCTGACAAAGACCCACACAATTCATATCACTGCCAAAGTTTTCATTATCACTGCACGAGAAGGTGAAAAACCAATGCAACATCTCTGCATGTTTTAAATACAGGCTTTTTTTGTTTGGTTTTAGTTCCAGAGTATGTGTGCAGGATGTGCGGGTTCATTACACAGGTAAATGTGTGTCATGGTGGTTTGCTCCATCTGTCAACCCATAAGTATGAAGCCCAGCGAGCATTAGTTATTTTTCCTGATGCTCTCCTTCTCCACGCAACCCACAATAGGCTCCAGTCGCTGCATGTTTTTCTTCTCCCTCTGTCCATGTTCTCATTGTTTAGCTACCCCTTATAAGTGAGAACATGCAGTGTTTGCTTTTCAAGTTCCTGCATTAGTCTGCTGAGGACAATGGCTTCCAGCTCCATCCATGTCCCTGCAAAGGACATGATCTTATTCCTTTTTTATGGGTGTATGGTATTCCATGGTGTGTATATGCCACATTTTCTTTATCCAGTCTATCATTGATGGGACCTGGGTTAATGCAATGTCTTTGCTATGGTGAACAGTGCTGTAATGAACATACACATTTATCTTTATAACAATGATTTATATTCCTTTGGGTACATACCCAATAAAGGGGATGCTGGGTCAAATGGTATTTCTGGTTCTAGGTCTTCAAGAAATCACTATACTGTCTTCCACAACGGTTGAACTAATTTACAGTCCCACCAACAGTGTAAAAGCATTCCTTTTTCTCCAAAGCCTCATCGGCATGTGTTGTTTCTTGACTTTTTAATAATCACCATTGTGATTATTAAAGCATGAGATGGTATCTCACTGTGGTTTTGATTTGCATTTTTCTAACGATTAGTGATGTTGAGGTTTTTTTCATATTTGTTGGCGGCATGAAAGTCTTCTCTTGAAAAGTGTCTGTTGATGTCCTTTGCTCACGTTTTAATGTGGCTGCTTGTTTTCTTGTAAATCTGTTTAATTTCCTTGTGGACTCTGGATATTAGACCTTTGTCAGATGAATAGGTTGCAAAAATTTCCTCCCATTCTGTAGGTTGTCTGAACGTTCTGATGACAGTTTCTTTTGCTGTGCAGAGAAGCTCTTTAGTTTAATTGGATCCCATTGGTCAATTTTTGCTTCACTTGCAATTGCTTTTGATATTTTTGTCATGAAATATTTGCCCATGTCCATGTCCTTCATGGTTAAAATTTGTGTGTGTGTGTTTTTTTTTAAACAGCTCACTGACCTTCTCTAGGGTTGACTCACAATTCACCATACTCTGCTTCTTCCCTCTGGGGGCATCTAGTCCTGGCTGGAGTGAGCAGCCAAGATGGAAGGGACAGTCAGAGCTCTGAGACCCTGCTGCTCCTGACCCAAGTGCTCCTTATATAGAGTGTGGGGGAAACTGGGCCTTCTCAGTCTTCATGTATTCAAGGCTTTGCATTTTTCCTCATCCATTTACCCTCACTCTAACTCTTTAACTTCTACACACACACACACACACACACACACACACACACACACACACAGAAGCAAAATGAAATTTAACTGAGTATGCTCAGAAACTCCAAAATGGCAATATAGAAAAAAAGTACAGCTAAGTTTTTTTTTCTTAATATCTATAAGTGTCAGTGCCCCCTGCTATGCCTACTTCCTCAGACCACAGCCACCTGAACAAGTTTAAAAGACTGAAATGGCAAGTAAATCACACATAAAATGTATTTTCAACTGCTAATAGATTTGACTTATTAAACTTCTAGTCAACATTATGCTCTACTCTTCCACACTCAAACTATTAGCTATATTATAGTTAGAGATAAATTTTATGTGCAGATTGAGAAACTTACTTTTAAGGACTCCCATAAAGGAAACTGGACCAAAGAAAAAGGAATCTGAAAAGAGAGAGAAAAAAATCAAATAAATTAGGTAAGAAAGAGCCAAGCTTGCCTTATGACTGTATGAGCCTATAATTATTATTATTTCATTTTAACTTTATAACAAAGCTAGTATCAAACAAATTCACAGGTATAGTATACAAAAAGAGTTAAACTGTAGTCTGTGGATTTTCTTTTTTGATTAAGATGAAGTCTTGCTCTATCACCCAGGCTCTATCACCAGTGCAGTGCCACGATCACCACCCTCGACTTCCCAGACTCACAAGATTTTCCCACCTCAGCTACCAGAGCAGCTGAGACTACAGGCACATGCCACCACAATCAGATAACTTTTTTTTCTTTTTTAGAGATGAGGTTTCACCATGTTGCCTGGGTTGGTCTGAAATGCGTGGGCTCAAGCAATCCACCTGACTTGGCCTCCGAAAGTGCTGGGATTACAGGCGTGAGCCACTGAGCCTGGTGATATTCTAACTTTTTGAGCCCAAAGGACATAAAATGATGTTGTGAAGCCCTTTTGAAATGGAAAGAGAAGCACGAGAGTCTAGCTACCGAAATGACAAAATAAGTATTTCCCACCGTAATAAAAAAACTTTAGGACTTGACATTTTTGTGCTTAAGAGCCAAGGCTGTGTACTTCTTAGCAGTCAAAGTGTTAGCATTTAAAAGAAACACGGAGGAAAAAGGAAGGTAAGGGGAGATGGGGGAAGAAGCGTTAGAGGAATGGGGAGACAACAGAGAGGAAAGGAGGAGCAGAAAGAGAAGGGGAGAGACAAAGGAGTAGAAGAAAAGGAAAGAGAGTGGAGAGAGGAAAAAGGGGGTAAAAAGGAAGCAGGAAGGAGGGGAAGAAAGCAGGGAGGCAGAGGATGGGGCACAGAGAGTGGGGGCGCTGAAGACAGGGGGCAGAGAAGGAAAGGAGAGGGAGAAGAGTGAGGAGGACGCTAGAGAGAGAGCAAGGGTAGGTGGAGGGCAAAAAGAGGCAAGGAAGAAAGAAGAAACAAACAGAGCCACTTGCAAGACTCCAACCTGAAAAACAGGACTCTAGGAACAGAGCAGCCAGTGTGGGAGTGGGAAGCCTGCGCCCCCCAGGGGAGGACCACCAAGTCAGTCGATGCTAGGGGAGGTGGAGAAGGTCTAACAAAACACAGGGGGACGTGGGTCTGAGCACCGATCAAGTCCCAGGCACAGCTAGGGAGGAAAGTCATCTGTAGTAATGAGCGTGAGTGGTCAAGGGAATCACCACACTTAGAGTTCAGTATTTACAATCAGCTGTCTAACAACAAAGGCTAGAACCACCAACACTTTTCATGTGCCTGGGTACTCTGCTAATAAGTACTTCGTAAGTTTCATTTCACTGAATCCTCACAGCTAACGCTGACAGGTAGTATTACTTCCTTGATTTATAGTTGATGAGACTGAGGTTCAAACACACCGTGTAACTTGCCTAAAGGCAGCTAGGAGGTAAGAAGCCCCGACAATCTGACTAGTCTTGTCTAACTATCACTATCCCCAGGAGACATCTAAGTTATCTGCATATAAATTCACAGTACAATCTATTTGTTATTAATTAAATTTTCTGAAATTCAAACTTAGAAACCCATCTCACATTTCCTACAATAAAAATGTCTAAACACCAGTGGACTCCACCCAGCAGCTGAAGTGATGTCCAGGCATAGCCTGGGAAGCGGGTGCTGGTGGCAGTGATGCCCAACAGCACACACGTGCCACGGGCCCAGTACTGGCATTCCACAGGCAGCCCAGCTGCAAGGGAAAAGTAAATGTGGACTCTGAACATTATCACTATTACTATATGTGGGTGGGTGGGCGTGGGAGTCATGTCCCAATTATGGAGGAATTAATGGGTATTCACCATCTGAATTGAGGGCATTTTATAAAATATATTTAATTAGAAATTTAAAGAGTAGCATCATCTGTCCTACTCAGCTACAGCAATTGATGGCCCCAAGTTTGACAAACAGTGACCACAGAAAGAAAATCATCTGTCTACCATTCAGGAAGGAAATGTAAATGAGAAAAAAGATCAACGTCATCAGCCTGGACTAATTTGACAAGCTACAATCTCAGAGAAGTCTGTTATCATCATAAACAGGCAGCCAGCTCACCCTGAATATCAAACTTCCATAAGAGTAGTTAAATTTAGTTTTTTTTTTTTTTTTTTTTTTTTTTTTTTTTTTTTTTTTGAGACGGAGTTTCGCTCTTGTTACCCAGGCTGGAGTGCAATGGCGCGATCTCGGCTCACCGCAACCTCCGCCTCCTGGGTTCAGGCAATTCTCCTGCCTCAGCCTCCCGAGTAGCTGGGATTACAGGCACGCACCACCGTGCCCAGCTAATTTTTTGTATTTTTAGTAGAGACGGGGTTTCACCATGTTGACCAGGATGGTCTCGATCTCTCGACCTTGTGATCCACCCGCCTCGGCCTCCCAAAGTGCTGGGATTACAGGCTTGAGCCACCGCGCCCGGCAAATTTAGTTTTTTATCGTCACAAAAACATAAAAGCATCTGACACTATCCATTCTGAAACTCAAGGATTGCATTTCCAATTAATTATCAAAACAAAAACTTAACAATGTAATAGGTTTCCAAAAGCTTTTCTGCATTTTTTTAAAGTTTACAATACGTAGTAACATATGTCCCACAAGACTAACAGGTAGTATGATTATGGATCACTTTAATTTTCTTCTTTGTATTCTCCCCTCTCAAAAACAAATACATAACATTTTAATAAGAAGGTAAATATTTCACACTTGTAAGATAAAAAAAGCTTTAAAATTTACTGTAATAATCCACCTTGGCATCATTTACTTCTCAATTAAAATCACCTACAAATTGCACTGAATGTTATCTGCACTTATTTGGTACTTAATACTTTAGATTTTGAATTCTATCATTAAACATTTTGCCCATTTATTCCACTGAAAGTTATTCATTGAGCTGTTCCTTCAGTTTAAAGAAATAATTTTAAAATAACACATTTGCAATGGCAATACTATTCCACAGGGTATTTATTTTAAAAGGGGAGCTGACAGTAAATCCCAGCTTTACTTTCTAAAAGAAATTGACAGTCTAAAGTAATTAAATATGCTATAAATGCCTAAATAATTAAATGTGCTTCTGACTTCTAGTAGTGAACTATTCCTCATAAATTCCTGATGTGTAAAAATTTTTCAAATATTCTTCAAGTCAAAATTGTATCACACACTTGTTGTCATTTACACTATGAAGAAACAATAATGAAAATGTGTTCCACACATGTGAAAGATGGGCTGCCAGCAAATACAGCTCCATAGCTAAAACAAACACTACTCCCAACCTCTACAGAACGTGGGCCCATCAGAACGTTAGCTCCCTGCCCGCGTCTGGCTTGAAGTTACATAATAGCGATGTTTCTTCAAAACGTGGAATTTTATACCCCAAACAGATGTAGGCTGTTATTCTAAAATGTTTTATAGATGAAGAAAATGAATAGCTGCACTCAGAGGTCTTATATTCCAAAACACAACATACCCATTTTATTGCACCAAAAGTTAGAAAATGGCTCACTGTTGTGACCCGTTTAATACCTCCATTTAAGACGTTTTGTTTGAATAAGGTTGTTAAGACCCAGGGCACTAATAAGTGAGCGGCAGTAAACCCAGCTACCATCAAAGACACAGATGGAGGAGGGAAAACCTGCTAAAATTCAACATGGGTTCCATTTAGTAATAAACAGAGCAATAATTCTATACAAGAGTGCATCTGAGGATTCTAGGTGAAATAGGGATAAGATAAAATGAAATCTGGGTGTGGTAAACAGGAAGGGCACAATAGGCATCACTAATAATGCACAAAATTACATTATGAGCCCACTTTACCTTTCACAAAGTATAGGACTAGAATTATTTTTGAAGCCAATCAATGCTTCTAATCCTGTGATCTTAAATGTAACCTAATGGTCCTTTAATAAGTAGCAAAGTCATTTATAATACAAGTGAAAAAATATGAAGATATGATTTCTAAGTTATCATTTAGCTCTACCATTCTATTTTTCAATAAAACAATTACAATAGCAATATATTTTTAAAAAATAAGACTTGACTGTAAGCTGCAATGAACACAATGCCACCATGTGTGATCTAGGAAGCCTAAGGAACAAGAAAGTCCATTTAAAAAGCTGTAAAAGCTTTCATAATTGGCAGAAATAACCGAAATCTCTCTAGCACCAGATTTAAAAGAAATCACAGAAACTCCAGCTGAAGAACACCATGGAACTGGTAGGCTTGCCATGTATAGCAGAGTGGATCCAAGGACTGGCCCATTACAATTTTCAAGAAATCTACAAGTGATTCACAGAAGGGTCTCCTTTTTCTTGCATGACAGTTTCCAAATTCCAGTGCTTAATTTAGGGTTTTCCATTTTACTGTCCCACCAATAACAAAGCCATTCTACTCTGAACCTTTTCCAATTCAACCCCGGAAGTAACCAAGGACAAATGAAGTTGAAGACCTAAAGACTCCTTGTCCCAAAATGATAATCATTCCTAAAAAAACAACAAAAGTGAAAACCATTCAAAGCCAGTCTGCTAGGATTGAACACAGCAGGAAAGAATTCCAATAGTAAATACATTCTGATTTTTTAAATTTAATGACTACAGTTCATTTATTTACACCGTATATAAGGAAAAGAACATATACCCAATAAAAGAAATTAACCTAAAAGGAGGAAAATGGAAAGTGAATCACTCTTTAGGTTAATAAGGACATGCTAACATTTCTAAAGCATCTTTCCAAAGAAAACAAAAAATGGATATGTGAGTAACAGAACCTAATAGAGAAAAGGAGATGAGTATGAGCAGTTTGATTCTTAAGTAAATCTTTCAGATTTCAAGGGCAGGGGTATGAGGAGTATCTCCAAACACAACTCAGTATATTAGTCAAAAATGTTATCACTGAAGGTGATGATTAGATCTTCTTTTCCAGCATTCTACAGAATCATCACAGTAA